CATTCTTGTGGACCACTGGTGGTCCATGGACCACAAGTTGGGCACCACTGGTCTAGGAAAATTGTCTTACATTTTGATTATTTGCTTCATAATAGCGAGATGTGTCTACTCTTAACTAGAATTTGTAGGTAATGTCCTTATTAGTTATCCCTGCAAGAGTTTCCCTCTTTCCTCTTGTTAAATATATCCAGCCCCCCACATTCATTGGGGTTATGACCACAGAACCCACATGAAGGTGAAAAACAGCGAATAAAGAAATTGCTATTTTTTAAACATGAGATAATACTTCCCTAAAAATCTTCAGTTCTTCCAGCATGACTCCTGGGCCAGCTTCTCCTGGAAGTTGACTATAGAATTGCATTGAGGGATTAGAGAGTCCTAAATAAGTGTTCTTCAGGTCCTCCAACATAGCTGGAGGAAGTTGACCATCAAGTCACACTGGAGGACTTATGGATACCTAGGGAAAACATTTTAAACAAATTTATGAATAATCAAATCCATAAAAAACAGATCTTCAAATGTAATTGGATGATTGTAGTTATCTTCTTAATTTACCTATAATCTGTGCCCACCTGAAGAGCCATAGAAGTTGATAACCATTGATTATTTACTTTTGTTTAGATCTAGCATTAAAAGGTTTCAGTCTGGGGCCCTACACAGTAGGCTAAAGTTCTTTCTTGCAATCATATGTGTTTCAGAGGAGGAACTAAAGGTGGCTGTGTGAAATGGCAAATTAAAATTTGAAGCCAGGAGGATTCACTTGCTTACATAGAATTTCAGTCTTCACTTTCACAATTAGTACTGTAGAGAAAAAGACATTATGCTTTGTGATATTTGACCCGAATATTGGAAGTTAGTTTGCTTATAGGAGAATCCACTGGCCACAGTTATTTGAGCTGTGTGCTTTGTTCTTATTTTTTCCTCTCTTCATCCTTCCACTGCTTCTAACAAGTCCACTGTTGTATTTGGTTTTTAATAGCTCATTGTTTATTGGCACTGTATACATGTAAACATATACTTGTCATACACGAGAGAAGTAATGGCCAGAATTATATTGGGATTTATCTATGCAGTTCTGAACTTTCCAGTTCTTGTTGTGAACTTCTGTGATTGACAAGCTTTGGTTGAATTTACCAAATAAGTCTGTTGCAGTATCCATACAATTACTTAAATAAGAGTTAGAAAATTAATTGGTACCCGCATCATCTCTTTTATGGCTCGGCTCTAATGCTAAGTTAAGCAAACACAAGGTTTTTTTTTTTTGGTTTTTTTTTTTTTTTTTGAAGTCTTGAAGGAAGTGGCTGATTGAATGTGAAATGCTTGTCCCCTCATTTTAGGGAAAGGAAGTTTAGACATTAGTGTGACTGAAAAGGATTTTGGAAGTTGGTAAATATCAGAAGAATACACAGAATCTGGCCAGTCTGAAATATGGCTAAATGTTGCGGAAAGCAAATTAGCTGAGACCAATGTATCCAGTGATGCTGCAAACTATTTACCTGCAATGCAGTGCTATGCATCTGCAGCTAGGTGGTGGAGAGAAATTCTTTTTCTTTTGCTTCTGCACAAAGCTTTGCTGTGTTCAGGAACAGCCAGCACCCAATTTGCCATTTATGTACCCTGTTTCCTGTACCCGTGGGCAATTTGACTTTTGATGGCTCTTTCGAAAACAGTTGGACCACCTTCAGAGATCTCTGTATCAATGGGACTCCGTGCTTCATGCAGGTAATGTGTTGTATTCATTTATTGCAGCTTCGTCAGGGGGAAAGGGAGAATTTGATTTCCTTAGCGAGGACTTTTCTGAATATACAAAAGCATATAGATCTGCATGAAAATACAGCAATTTGGTTTCATTTCCTCACCCAATCCTGAAATGTATTCTTTATCAGATATGTAGTTTGAGAACACCTCCAGTGAAGATAGGGTGTAAACAGCTGTCTGCCTCCATTGAAACGCAGCCTCTAGAATTCTTGCACTACCACCCTTTTGTTTATCCTTTTAAACTGGATTTGAAATTGTTTGTGTGTACAAACCGAACAGATGTTTTCTCTGTGCTTTGATTAATGATTTACTTGAATTAATTCTTGTTTTAAATACTACTTGAATCCAAGATATTTGCATAGTATATGCATGCTTTGCAATTCAACTTGGTACTCATTAGGACTGGGGGGCCAGGAAGGTGAGGCAAAAGCCTTTAGAAGGCTAATCCTGAATATATTAGATGATGTAATAATAGAAGTACCATCTAAAGATAGTATTGTCTTTGAGTTACAATCAGATCTTTACAGCCCACTTCTAGTGTATTATACTTTCTGACAAATGGTTGTTTAATTACTTTTTGGGTCATTGGGCCCTCAAATGCTTAATATGAAAGATTTAGGGCTCTGGCTTCTTTGTGATATCTATTAGTAGTACAACATTTTGGCTTCTTTCAGATGAAGGATAAGGGCAGTTATGAAAAGCTTTCTGGTAACTTCCTTGCTGCAGGAATTTTGTGCTTGTGGAAGAGACTAGTGATTGCAGACTCCCTCTGGCATTTCAAATAGCATGGTGGCCAGATCATTACCACTGGGGCTCAGTGCAATCCAATTGTTTGTCCATTCCCTAAAGCATTGTGTAATTGAAGTACTATATAATAAATAGTGATTCAGTGTTCCAGTGTTTATGACGTAATTTTAAAAATAGCTTTGCTGTGATGGGTGTGGCTTTTAGATAGATTATATTGATTGTTTCTATGTTTGGGATTTAATTATTAGTATTTCATTTTATTTTCAATGCCTAGAGCTTTCAAAGCTATACTACTTAACTAAGATGACTTCATGTTTATTCCTATGTGTTTTCTATTTGCATCAAGTCTTACTTAAGATTTAACTAGTCCATCAACAAGCCTTAGAATTGATATATTTTACTATTGTATTTTGAAACTTCTCACAAAATGACGGTTAATTATTTTCCGGTATAACTGAATAGTATTTTTTTTTAATGACAGATTTTCAATAATTTGTGAAAATGACTAAACCTAGCCTGTTTTTGTTGGTAATTATACTAAATTTATAATATGAGTTACTGCATTGTTTCAGTCCCAAATGGGTAACAGTTACTAAAGTAATACGTTTCTAAACAAGCTCAACCATTTTTGACAGGAAAAATGTCTTAATTCATTGCCTTTTATTAAATTGCAACAGCAGTAGAACATGTCTTTTCTATGCAAAAAGGTGCCAGATTTAGTCTCTAGGTAAGACTAGGAAATGTTTCCGCTTGAAGCCCTGCGAGACCATTGGCAGTCACTTAGTGCTGACAGCACTAGGCTAGATAGACTAATGGTCTAATGTTCCACATGAAATGCTAATTTTCAATTGGTTCCAAAAATGAGTTTTATGCTCTCAAAGTCCATTGAGTTGTGCATATATACTTACCTGCAAAAATATAACTGAATTGAAAGATATTATTAGTAGTATATTTATTTATAGCAACTTTTTCTCCTAAACATGGGACTTAAGAGGGGTGCAATTTGAGAAGGGTTATATACAGTACCGTAAAACATGCAAAAGTGAATATTAGAATGTAATTAATATAATAAAATGATATTAAAGTAATTCAAACTTACATTAAAAAGAAAAAAAATTGCAATTAAAAAGATCAAAACAATACAGCAATCCCTAGTCCATTTTAACAGCCTGTTGGAATAAAAACATTTTAGGCTAATAACAGAAGGTCAGCAGGGAGTTGATATTGTGGCTAGCATTGAGTGGGAGTTTGAAAGACTTGGTGCAGCCACTGAGAAGACCCTCTCTTGCCTCCACACACCAACCATGTGAGTGACGATGGCAGGGCCGAGAAAAGGACATCTCATGATTTCAAGGGCCCATGCAGGCTCATATACAATTTGCCAGATAGTATTGACATGAGTCATATAGGGCTTTATAGGTAACAACCAACACTTTGAATTGAATTAGATTCAGGGCAACCGCCTTAGATTGAGGTTAAACAGAGTAATAGACCTGGGTGTCACCTGTATATTGATGACATCACACCCAAAAACTCCAAATGATCTTCAACAGCTTGATGTACATTTTGAATTGTGTGCTGGACAAAACAACTCTGAGGGACCACACAGCGCAATAATCAGGGTTGAACAGGAGTCCCCTAGTTCCGTTTTATGGATTTACCTCTCCATGAAGGAACAGAGCCATTATAAAATAGTGTCTTTGACTCCCATCCCATTTAAATGGCCCAGAAGAATATTAGGAAGGTATCAAAAGTTGCCAAAGAAGTCCAGCAGAACCAATGGAGATACACTCACTTAGTCCAGTGCCTATCAAGGTGACTAAAGCTGTCTCACTAGATAAGCCATTTCATCCAGGAGCAGTTGAACTGGAGGCCATCATATGATCCAATATCTTGCCCAACAATGTCCGTCCCCAACAATGGCCTAACAACTGCTTTCTTTAGACAAGTTGGAATTCTGCCTTGTTACAAGAACATATTTCACTCATTCTGCCAGAAAGCCATCAAAAGAGATATCAGTACAGAAATTAGCCCTGAATCTCAGAATTTCCCATCCACACTGAATCCATGATAAAACAGCTTGCATTTTCAGAGTTATGTAAGGCATCTCTACTTACTCTTAATCAAAAAGTTTTCAGAACTATGAAGGTTTCAGTGATGTAAACATACAGTAGACTCCATTGCTAGTCAAGCAACTGATGGTTTTTCGTTTGAAGTGCTTTCAAAATGCTTCTGAAAATGTTGGCCAATTTTCAGAGGAAAGTGGGTGCAAGGTTTAATGCACATATGGAGATCACTGTACAATCTAATGGATCATGAGTTGAGTGATTTTGGTGAGGTAATGTGTTCTGCCCAATTTAACATGGTTGTGATTTGTATGGATGTGATACAAAAAATAGTATCCATTCTGAAAAAGCATTTTGTCTTAGTATCTTCTTTCTTCCCTCCAGTATTTGCATTCAGTAAATCTTGGTTTATAAATGTATGTGTCACAGGCCTGAAACTCAACATCGAGGACCTGCTACCATTACAGAGAATGATCAACCTGAACAAGAAGAGGAAATCCGGGGATCAGATGATGATGAACAGGAAGATCCCAATGATTATTGTAAAGGTTAGTGAAGTCATTGCCCCCCCCCCCAAAAAAAATAAAATAACCCCAAACCTTTAATGCCCTCATATGAGATCAGTAATTAAGCCTATAAACCTTTTTGGTATTCTAGCTATATAGTCTACTAAGTCAACTCACTTTGCAGATGGAAAGGGAAGTTCATTTATGCAGTTTGTAATCTATCTGATTATACATAATCCTGTTTGTAATAGAAGAAGGAATATGTTTGGTTCATGTATTTTTCAATATCCTTTTTTAGTATCCTTATTTATTATATACTCATCTTTATGCCCAGCATATAAACAGAGAGGCTAGCTTCAGAGGGCCTGAAATATGTTCAACTGCTCCATTTCTATGCTAGACATAGAGTGCAATATTAACATGAAAAATGTGTAGGTGTATCATGCAGTTGAGTGATTAGAATTGATGTATTGCTTTTGTGAGTCATAGAGGTGGTGGCTATCAGATGTAATCAGAAAAAAAAGATTGCATTCAAAGCACGCCCCCTTGTTGCTTACATATTTGAAATTGTGTGGTAGAAAGGAAAATTATATCTTAAGAAGAAGTCATAAAACTAAAGTGGCAAATTTGGTTGGATTTCCTCCCACTAAAACAATATAAGGAGTTTACTGATAAAGCTGTGAATGTTAAGGGTTGTGTCAAAAATACTGATATGGTGAACAGAGATATTATTTTTCTGAGATAGTGTCTGTCAGAGTCCTGGAATTGATTGCTCCATTTTCCTCACAAAGGAAGGAAGCCCAGTTATTTCTGACTAAAGCTGTTATTTTGGGGTGATTTTTGTTTTGTGCATTGTGAAGCAATGTTAGTTACAGGTAGCTTAGGAAATGTGTATTCTCTTGGTAAAATATGGAGAGAGCCCCCCCCCCCCCCCCCAGTAATACCCTCTGTCAATATTTTCCTCCTTTTTATGTTACGGGTGACTTGCATGGCATCAGCCATTATGATTCTGTCCTTCCTTACTCCTTACACTTGACAGGTGATCTCTTGCTAGGATGACATTCCTGCAGTGAAGGTAGACTGTAGCTGTCATTACCCATGATTATTTGGTATCTCAGTTGGGGCTGATGGGGCTATTTAACGGCATCTGGAATCCCATAATTTCTACCCTGGCATTAATCCCTTTCTTAAATTGCTGATCTGACATGTCGGTGTAGAGAACATTCCCCCCCCCCCCCCCCCCCCCCCCACATATTTTATACAAACAAAATCAACCTCTGTACCTGGCATTCATCGACCTTGCAAAGGCATTCGACACAGTGAATCTCAGCGCTCTCTGGACCATCCTCCAAAAAATTGGGTGCCCTAACAAATTTGTGAACATCCTGCGGCTCCTCCATGACAACGTCGTCTGTGCACATTCAGAAGAACTACAAGCCACTCTAAACACCTTCGGAGAAGCATATGAGAAGCTCGGCCTGTCATTGAACATTGAAAAAAACAAGGTGCTGTTCCAGCAGACACCAACCAACCCCTCTCCAATGCCAGTGATACAGCTTAATGGTGTAACATTAGAAAATGTTGATCATTTCCGCTACCTTGGCAGCCACCTCTCCACCAAAGTCAACATCGACACCAAAAAACACCGCCTGAGCTCTGCGAGCGCAGCATTTTTCCGAATGAAGCAGAGAGTGTTTGAGGACCGGGACATCCGTAGGGATACCAAGGTGCTTGTTTATAGAGCTATTGTCCTCCCAACCCTGCTATATGCCTGTGAGATGTGGACTGTCTACAGACGTCACATGCAACTCCTGGAACGATTCCATCCACGCTGCCTCCGGAAAATCCTGCAAATCTCTTGGGAAGACAGGCGGACAAACGTCAGCATGCTGAAAGAAGCGAAGACCAGCAGCATTGAAATCGATGGTCCTCCGCCATCAACTCTGCTGGACCGGCCACGTTGTCCGGATGCCCGACCACCATCTCCCAAAGCAGTTGCTCTACTCCGAACTCAAGAATGGAAAACGGAATGTTGGTGGACAGGAAAAGAGATTTAAAGATGGGCTCAAAGCCAACCTTAAAAACTCTGGCATAGACACTGAGAACTGGGAAGCCCTGGCCCTTGGCTGCTCCTGCTGGAGGTCAGCTGTGACCAGCAGTTCTGCAGAATTTGAAGAGGCACGAATGGAGGGCGAAAGGGAGAAGCGTGCCAAGAGGAAGGTGCGTCAAGCCAACCCTGACCGAGACCACCTTCCACCTGGAAACCAATGCCCTCACTGCAGAAGAAGATGCAGAGCAAGAATAGGGCTCCACAGCCACATACGGACCCACAAGAACACTGGAAGACAATCATCCTCTGAGAGCGAGGGATCGCCTAAGAAAGAAGAAAGAAGAAGAACATATTTTATAATGGTTCTCTTTCACAAGGAGGGTCACAGCCTCATTTTCGGTAGTGATAGACTTCAAACAGGAGTTAGTAAGATCAATCTCTGGGATAGATAACAGATTTGTGGGTCTAAATCTCACATTATGTATATAGCATGACTGCAACCATCCTTCAGAATTCCAAACTTTGTGAGAACACATGATTGTTTGCTAGCATTTGTGAAATCATGTTTTTGACTGATGTGTGATGATAGGTGAAAGCCAAACATGACGGTAATGTGAGAACTAGGTTAAAAGGTGGAATACAGACAGTCCCAAGTTACGAACAATATAGATTCAGTAGGTTTGTTTGTAAGTCAGTACAGATCCATTTTTAAGTCTCTCTCTCTCTCTCTCTCTCTCTCTCTAATTATATGTTACGCATGCATGCATGCAAGCTTTGGATGGCATAGGGAAGTGGTGTTTGAAGTCTGTGCCCCTGTTCATAAGATTTCACCTTACTTTGTACCCCTGTGACAGTTGGATTTTTAAAAATATGGCCTGCTTTGGAAACAGTATTGGTAATAAAGCTTCAGTGGAGACACCATTTCCCAATGATAACTCTTTCAAAAGCGATTTTCCTTTACTGTAGTGGTTTATGGGACTTCTTTAAAGAGAATTTGTGTATGTTATTCAGACATATCTCAGTTAGCAAAGTTTCTGATAGCAAAATTCCTATATCGCAAAGTCTTTGTTTTCCCATTCCTCCTTTTCTTCACATTTTCTGTCTAGATGGAGATTTTGCATTGAGGTGGGTGGGGATGAGTGGGTGAAATAGACTTTCGATATCAGGTTGTATGTATCAGCATGTGTGCAGTCATCGATGTGGTAAAACTACAGATGGAAGAGTGGGGTTATATTTGAGCCTACCCTGAGAAGTGGTATGTGCCTGCAACAGACAGTGTAAACAGCAGCTGTCTCCAGAATCCTTTACTGAACAGGTGTGAACAGCAAAACAAAGAGCAGACAAGCCTGCTTCTTCACCTATCCTAGGATGTTTTTAAAAACAACATAAATCTGTAAGTTTGGCCCCCAAAATAGAAATCATAAGAAAGCTGATGAAAGAAAGAGTCTTCCTTGAATGCCTTTTGGAAGAAACATTCAAATTGTTTTCACAAGATTTAAACTGTCTTTTTTTTCTTAATATAAACCTTATTTGATCTGCTTGCTTTATTTCACATGTATATGTTATTAGTTTTGTTTAACACTTTCATTGAAACACATTGAACTGTGTAAACACATCTCTTATTATTTCAACATTTTGTTTTGTTTTGTTTTGCTTATAGCACCAAATTTTCTGTTAAAAGGTGTAATGGTGCGGAGGGAGATTTGTTACATTTGTTAACTGAAGTATACCTTTAATTTTAATTCAGATATAAATATCAAGGAAAGACTTATTTGTCTTTGCAAATAAGTCTTTCCTTGATGTCCCTTGCAATTCCTCTAACCATGTATCTACCTTAATTTATTTAGATATTGATCAAGGTCTAAGAACAGAGGTAGGAATTAATAGTGTCCCTTAGTATTAGCTTTCTTAATCAGTGAGAACTCAGCTATGTACAAAATAGTAGAAAAAAATATAGGAGTTCACAGTGTGGATCGATTTCAAATATGACCTTAGTTCCAAGCACATTAAGAAGCAAACCATTGTTTTCTGATGGCTAAGACTGTTAGGGTACTCTTAGGGCCTGCTTGAGATGACATTATTAAAGAACATGACTGTGCTTTAGTTTTTCATGTTCTCAGCATCTTGTGAAGAAGTCAGCAGAATAACGACCTGGTCTTCTGAACCCTGAGAGGTAGACATTATAAATGTCAACTGGAAAGGGACATAACATCACATTTGCAGGATGCATCAGTGTTTGTCTGGTTGGGCAGCAAGTGGCACATACACATGAAGGCTATAGCATGTTAGCATACTCATCCCCCTAGAGAACAAAAGGACTGCCATAGTTGCTGGTTATAGTAAGCCATCACACAAAACGTACTTGAATACTTCTAATCTTACAGTTGTAATTCTTTTAGTACTAGGTTTGAGGGTGGTTTTCTCAATTAGAATGTGTTTTTGCTAGATAAATCAGTAGATTGGTTTTCTTAATCGGGCAGTTTCACATGCAGATAGCCATTCTGCTCTGCTTATTCTCTTTGCAACCAGTCTGAAGGGAGAGACATAGCACTTAGTAGGGTTGTTGGTGCTCCAACACTTGAGAAAGAAAATAGATCACCTAATTTACATTGTAACTGCTTTTCTTGTTTGATAAGCTGTTGAACGTTACTTGCGTAATTTCAAAATGAAGAAATTACCAATCTCTCTCTCTCTCTCTCTCTCTCTCTCTCTCTCTCTCTCTCTCTCTCTCTCTCTCTATATATATATATATATATATATATATATATATATATATATATCTGTAACCTGAGAGCATAACAGTAAATCTCCCTGTGAGTAAGTAATTCTTACTTAACAGTAAATAGTTATTATTTTTAAAATAAGTTAAACATGGCACAATCAAGCAAAGTAAAACACTTCCAATTTTTGATTTTCGATTTCGAAATCTTGATTTTAGCACTATTTAATTCTGTTTCCCTGGAAGGCATTAATGCTTTTCCAGGAAACAGAATCATACAATGCCTACCTTGGTGTAGGACTTCATTTCCAATACCACATTTGCAAACTTACTCTAGAGGTAAAACACAACATGTAAACTTTCATATTTTCTTTATGGCTACTGTTAGGCAAATACTGATAACTATTACTAATGGAAAACACAAACTGATCGTTTCATTGAAGTGCTAGAACAAAAATACCATATCTGATGTTTCTCATAATTAAATGTCAGAAACATTACTTCCTAACATTTTAATTTTAAAACATAAATTTCTGCTTTCCCTGAGAAGTACAGAAATACGTATATTATGGAAGAGAAAGTCACACCAAATAATTCCAAAGGGTTCTTCATGTCTTTCTTCAAGAGGGACAATATGTTGGAAATTTAGGTTTTATAATAGTCAAACTTTCCATTTTAAGTATGAAATCCCCAAGTTAAAATAGCATTTCCTTCTAGAAACTTTAAAGGCTTCCCAGTCCTTCCCAAACTGTAAAGGGTCTTTTGATTGAAGATATCCCAACAGAATTTCCATCTCAGCCACCTCTGCCACTTTCACAATCTATTCCTTCATTTCCTGTGTTTCCTCCAATTTCTAAGTCGACGCATAAACGATTCCCGTAGCAGCTGTCATCAGGGTGAAGAGTTTGTCATGTGTCTTCAAAAGTGATCTGTCTGTTATTCCTAGTAGAAATGCTTCTGGGTTTATGGGTATTTTAAGCTTTAATACTTTTTCAAAAGTTTTATGGATCTCAATCCAAAAGTATTTTGCCTTATTGCAGGACCACCACTTGTGGAAAAAATGATCCAGTTGCTTATTTGCAATCCCAACAAGTATTTTTCAATTGTGGCTTCATTTGGCTATATTGACAGGTGTCATATAAGATTGATAAACTATTCTATAGAAATTTTCCAGAAGTGAATAATTTCTGAATATTTTTATTTTTACTCTCCAGGGGTGTTTCCACTCATCTAAGCTGATTAAATGACCAGTATTTTGGCCCATTTTATTACACATTCCTTGGCATCTTCATCTTCTGTGGGTAATTTTAGCAGGAGATTGTAGAACTTAGTTTATTTCTTAATTGCAGTATTTTGTCAAGATCTGTTTTTTTCTTCTTCAAATACTGTCTGTACATCTTTTTGGTATTGATAATGTATTTGTGCATAATCAAATCAGTTCAGGTTGTAGCCCTGTTGGTTTATTTCTGACCTTGTTTTCAGTTGGAGCTTGTCCCATGTTTTTCTTTATATCTGCAGATTTTGGCCATCTTTTATTATGCTTGGAATTTCCACTTTGCTTGAAGGCTTCCTGAATCAAAGTCCATTGTGGTATTTTTGTATAAAACTTTGTTTTATGCTTGTTCCAAGTTTTCATTAGGATTTTCCTAATTGGATGTTCATTAAAGTTTGGATCTTCTGCTACTTTTCCATAAATTAATTATGCATGTAAGCCAGATTTTAAACCTCTTCCTTCAAGAATTATGAGGCTTTGATTGTCAGGATGGCTCCATTCTTTTAGCCAATTCAATATAGCTGCTTCTCTATGTTATTTTAGATTTGGGAGGGCCAGTCCTCCTCTTTGTTTAGTATCTTGTAGATTTTTCATCTTTATTCTAGGTTTCTTCCCTCTCCAAATAAATCTTGAAAATTCAGCATTCCAGTTTGTAAATTCTTAATCCTTTATGTCAGTTCGGATACCTGCAACAAGAAGCATATTCTGGGTAGAATGTTCATTTTTGAAGCTTAAAGCTTATAAGAATTAGTAGTCTGACCTGTGAGTTTTTCAGTGCCACTGTGATTATTAATAGAATAACTCTTTTTTTCCCATTTCTTAGGGGGCTATCATCTTGTAAAAATAGGAGACTTGTTTAATGGAAGGTACCATGTGATCCGGAAGCTGGGATGGGGACACTTTTCCACAGTGTGGCTATCCTGGGATATCCAGTAAGTCTTTGCTATTTGGATGGAATTTCTTCTTATTGCGGAGGATACCATTCAGGACTTAAGAATATGAAAGTTTTCCTCATCAAGTTTCTTCTTGTTGTCACATTTAAAGCAATTATCTACTGCATCTTGTAATATAATAGCAACAGTATTATGTTCAAGTTGTATAAAGAAATGGATCATATTCATAAATGTATATTATTTCTTTCATCAAGTGTCCTTAACATTCAGAACTTACATCTTATGTTGATGATTCTTGGTTCCCCAGAACAATTTTGTACTAAATTTGATTTCTGTTTAGGGCAAAGAGGTTTGTTGCAATGAAAGTTGTAAAAAGTGCTGAAAACTACACAGAAACAGCACTGGATGAAATCAAGCTGCTGAAGTCTGTGAGTATGCAAAATGTTAAAGCCTTTAAAATATCAGGATATGATTTTAGTGTTCATATATATGATAAAATTATGCAGTTTTCTACCACTTCAATTGCCATGGCTTAATACTGTGGAATCCTGGGAGCTGTAGTTTTGGGAGATGCCAGTACTGGGTTACTGGAAGCATTATCTCCTGATGTTGCACCCACATCCTCAGAGGTTGTGAGGTACATTGGAAACAAAGCAAGGGAGGTTTATATATCTGTGGAAAGTCCAGGGTGGGAGAAAGAACTCTTGTCTGTTGGAGGGCAAGTGTTACTGTTTGAATTAATCACCTTGATTAGCATTGCAAAGCTTTGCAGCTTCAAGGCTTGGCTGATTCCTGCCTGGGGGAATCCTTTGTTGGAAGGTGTTAGCTGGCCTTGATTGTTTCATGTCTGTAATTCCCCTGTTTTCAGAGATTCTGACCATGAAAGCCTTCGACAACATGATACCAGTATTCTTTTGCAGAGAGGGCTAAAGGCCGTAAATTGGCAATTCTAAGACATTTGGCCATGACAATTAATGTGGTATGAAACTTCATTATTTCTACAGTGTCAGTGCACCTCAAAGCCTGTGGAATCTTTGTTTTGTAATAGAAGTGAAGGTCCAGTAATTGTTTTCTAGCAATATAAGAGGATTCAGCAGAATCTGATAGGATTGATCCTCTCTTTCCCTTATTGTCTCCTATACAACAGCAAAACAATTTCTGAAATACTGGAATCACCTCCACCAAAATCTGATTTTCAGGTGATGGAAAAAGCTGAGATGGGGGAGAGCGGCTGACAAACAATGTTGGGTTTCAGCCATAGTGTAGAGATTAGACATTTTTTTAAATCTGTAAAGCATTTTACCTCAATGTCTGGGGTAGTTTAAAAGATCCTGGAATTAACTACACTCTATATTTCAAATATTTATACTATACCCTTTCACCAATAAAGTTCCCAGAGAAGTGTACAAATTGTTACTTTGACAGTACCATGCCCTCAGGTTTAAAATTTAAAAAGACACAGAAAAGGGAAAAAGGATTAAGTCCAACAAATGCTGGTTGACCTTCTTTTCCTCTGAGTCCATAGTAGTAGTAGTAGTAACTGGTATGGAGGGAGGGTTCTCCCTGCTGGGACTTTAGCCATTTAGGCATAGGTCTTGTAATCCTTTAAATAGGCTTAAAGGCTTGATCTTTGTGTTTATTAATTGTAGGCATCCTATTTTCACATTAATGTAGCTTATTGTAATTTTACTCCCTTGCATCCAGTAGTAAATTTCAAAGTAATTTAAAAGGAGGGGCTCATGAAGGGGAAGCACAGGCCCAAGAAATGCACCCGTATCAATGCAGGTTCCAAAACAGTTTTAGTTTAGGGATGAATTAAACCTGTTTTTGTTTTTTTCCATTTGGAGACCAATGCAAGATTAATATGTTCATAGAAATTAATGTGTTCATAGAATAGGTAGAAATGTTAACTTTTAGTTTCCAAAATGAAAGGGAAAAGGATGCGCCTTGGTGAAGAGAGAATCACTATGAACTGATTTTTGTGTTATTTGGCTTTCCCCATACAGGTCCGGAACACAGACCCCAATGACCCAAACAGAGAGAGGGTGGTTCAGCTATTAGATGATTTTAAAATCTCAGGAGTGAATGGATCCCGTATCCTTTGTGTAAAGCGGGAAGGTTTTTTTAAGTCATAAGAAGCAGTTGTTGTTACGGCAGTGGGAGATCAAATTGCAGTTTCTCCAATCTTAATCTATAAAAATGAGCAATAAAGAAATTGCTGCATCCCTGGGGCTTCCTATGATCTACAGGGCATCAGTTGTGGCTTGTGTAGCTAGCTCATCCTGTTCTGCCTATGGGTGGTATGATCTTATCTGCTCTCTCTCTCTCTCTCTCACACACACACACACACACACACAAATTATATATTGAGAATGACGCTTTTGAAAATGACAGTATTTTTTGAGGGAGATGATTGGGTTGTCTTCCAATGTTTTTTTTTTTTTTAAATTTAGTTGTGTTATATTGCCTTAAGAAATTTCTGCACCACCCATAGTTACTGAACAGATTTGGTTACAAAGGAAACATAACTCTGGGGAACAACATGCAGGCAATCTAAGGAAAAGGATCATTTGGTTTCTTTTAACCATTGTGGGTCCATGGACCGTAATAAAGTTTTTACCTTGCTTTGTCTTGTACTAAATGACCATATTTTCAGGAGTGATGCAGATTGTAGAAATCCCAGGAATTTCAGCCTTGACTCATCTACAGATATTTGTATGGTTTTTGAAGTTATTGGACACCATCTTCTGAAATGGATCATCAAATCGAATTATCAGGGACTTCCGCTTCTTTGTGTAAAAAGGATAATCCAGCAAGTATGTTCTTCCTCTATTTGACAATTTAGGACTCATTTTGTTAAAAGCTACATGTTGTCAATTTAAAAAAATTTAAAATAGAGTGATTTTCAATTTTAACATGGTTATAAAGTATATGTTGTCAGATGTATGGTGCTCATTCAAATTGTGCTCATTTAGCTGTGTGACTAGAGTCTATAATATTTCATCTTGCTGCCAAAACTTGGATAAATAACTTTTTGAACCACAACTTCTAGGAACTCTCCATAGTTCTAGAAATCCCGATCCAAAAAAGGCAACCGTTATAAGTTTTGCTGCATTCATACCAATGGAATACATCTAAACTTCAGTGAGATTTTGATATTAATCTTGTTCATGTGCTTTAAAATCCTAAGAAAAAAAAATCAGAACACTTTTATGCAGTATTTAGATAGAAAGAAATTAGTTGTTGTAAATATGTAGCTAATTCTTTTAATATTGTCTACTTAGATTCATCATTCTAAAAGCAAAATCATTGTTGCTGTTTTGATTGCTTTGGAATTACACAAAAGGGCCACTTACCCTAGAATATCCCAAATTATGCAGAAGCGCAGTTCCTCTAAAAATTATGCCGTTATATGTGCAAAATTCCAAAAAAGCAGTGGAACAGGACCTCATGAGTATGTTAGCCATGACTGTTTTCATTTGCTTTAACCCAGGCCAGGAGTCAAAATCATATGGTCCTCCAGATGGTGGTTGACTGCAGCTCCCAATCTTCCACATTATGGGTGGATGCTAGGGCTGCTGGGATACGCAGTCCAACAATTTCTGAAGGTCTGCATGATTTTCAACCCAGTGCCCCCTCTAAGAGTATTGGCACACATTCCCCTTGTCAGATGCCTTTGGTTTAGCAGGAGGTATCTTTCCACTGATAATCCACTTGCACACACTGATGACCCACTTCACATTTTAGCTCTAAAGACATTTTTCCTTCTGATAATACATACTGTGTTCTGACTTCTCATTATAATTTTCACCACTGATCATTTATGTCACCTAAATGCCCATTTTCTTCCTCTTGTAGGTTTTGCAAGGCCTGGATTATTTACATGCTAAATGTCGAATCATCCATACTGATATTAAACCAGAAAACATTTTGCTGTGTGTTAATGACCAATACATCCGCAGATTGGCTGCCGAAGCAACAGAGTGGCAGAGATCTGGAGCACCCCCTCCTTCAGGCTCTGCAGGTACATTTTTTTCTTGTCTCTGTTCCTCTAAAATTAGCTCCTTCTGAGTGATTAGTTAGGATTTGACTGTGTCTGGATCTCTGAGCATTATTAATATGGAATACGTATGTTTTCTGTTCGACAAACCTTTCTATGAGAAGTAGTAGAAAGTAAACTGAAATGAATATGTATATTTAACATACTGTTTCTTATCTGATATATAAGCAAGTTGTGAAAAACAGTGTAAAACAGCTTCTGTAGAATTCCATTTTGAGAGATTCTGCAGTGAAGTAATTATATAAGATGTACTTTGTATTAATCTTTTTTTGTATTCTCCCAGGGACATATATATTCTTTTCAACATTTCTGTTAATAGATACAAGGGCTATTAGCCTATTTTACTGTTGTAAGTGTCCCTGTCTTGCAAGGCAAAGCAGGGTCAAACAGTAATGGATGCTACTGGAGCATCATCATAGTGTATATATGCTGAGCTGAGCTCCATGGCATATCATCTAGCATTTCCCTATGTTCTCACCCCATCTCAAGATTTACCAGAGTGATGTCTTCAGAAATGGTATCAGTTAGTCAGTTGAGATTCTCAAGTATCTTGTGATAGAGTTTGCTTGGTTTGCCTGATCCCCAGGCGTGTTTACATTATCAGATTTTACCTGCAACAGTGTTGGAAATAGCAACAGTGAAGAGAAGACTATTGGCATAAGTGGCATGACTTTTAAATCTTGAAGCTGATCAACAGTGAGTTGAATCGCCAATGGTGTTCAGTCCCATTTGTCTTTCAAACCTCTCTTCAGATGGCAACTAGAACAAGAACCATCTGATTCAGTATTGGTGATGGGCATATTTGGCTTACTCTATTATGTAATTGAAATTTTAGGCTATCAGAATTTAAATCATTGAATGGAATTCTGATCCCCGCAACAACCAAAAAAAGTAGCTCATGACCAGGAATGCTCACCAATACTTAAATTTAACATTTCCTTTACCAGTTAGGTTATCATGGTTTTTCTTTCTATTCATGAACTAAATGTGGAAGTTCAATTTGCAACCAATGACTTCTTAATTCTAGATGTTAGTGAGAAATCAAACTGATTTTAATTGGGGTAAATGTGCCCTTGACTGGTTTACATTTTTCGTAAAGATCATTCCCATGACTATGTAGAAATGGTAAGAGTACAGAAGAGATGGCTAGATCTGGGTAGTGACTTAAATGGGAGATGTTGCTTCAGAATGACACTGAAAAGTCAGGAGCAATGACCCTTGAATATCTCTGAATTTATCAATAATTTACATCTATAATCTTAGTGCCATGGCACTTACGTGGCCTTAGAATCAATAACGTTATTGCCATCCTGAAAACTTTGCAGTGAAGTTCATTCTTCTCACATAGGAAAAGTCTAGTGTTAGACAAAGGTTTTTAATATTCCAGAGATTATTTAAGTCCTGATAAAATGAAATTTGATAATATAGTTTGCTAGAGCTTTTTTTGTTTTTTGTTTAGTACATTATTATTGAAGAAATTGTGTTCTGCTGACTTTAGAAGATGATGTCCCATATACTGCTATGATAGCATTATTACAACACAGGATTGCAATCACACTAATTGTGTTTCTCTTTTCACAGTGAGTACTGCACCACAGCCCAAACCTGTAAGTATAGTAATTTGTTCCTTTTTGAATTGCATAATACTTTGCATTTGGATTTACATAATCTTGACAGAGCAGTCTGGGTAATATATAAAGGCTTATTCAAAGGCCTAAGATGTTTGTTTAGATGTCAAAATTACTTAGCTTTGTAGACTAAATCATAGCATGCTGCCATAAGCATATTTATTTCAGTTCTGGTATTTGGTGCTCTTTGCTTTATTAGTGTAGAGAATTGTCAACCCCCCCCCCCCCCCCCCCCCCAAGTTATTGGAATTGCCTTTGATGAATATGTATGGTTTTTATAGACAGCATTCTGAATCACATAAACAGCATTCTGGATCACATAGGGATTTGGCCTGGTCTCATTCTATTGGAGGAGGGGGTGTCAATATAAGTATTTTATGAACAGGGCTGTACCATGTGAATATTCTTAATTTTAAAAAGGTAAAGGTTTCCCCTGACATTAAGGCTAGTTGTGTCCGCCTCTAGAGGGTGGTGCTTATCTCCATTTCTAAGCTGAAGAGTCAGCGTTGTCTGTAGATGCCTCCAAGGTCATGTGGCCAGCATGACTGCATGGAGTGCCATTTCCTCCCCACCAGAGCGGTACCTATTGATCTACTCACATCTGCATGTTTTCAAACTGCTAGGTTGGCAGAAGCTGGGCTAACAGCCAGAGCTCACCCCGCACACTGGATTCAAACTGCCAACCTTTAGGTCAGCAGCTCAGCGGTTTCAACACTGCACCACTGCATAAGACGCCATTATGGGTATCACCATTGGAGGCAACTCAAAGGAGATGTATGGGATGGAACGATTGGCCAAAATATAAAGAAATTTTGAAAAACTATCAAGGAGAATTAATACTAAAGGAACAACATGAATTAATTACTATAGATAAAAAAATATCATGGCTACAATACTGGCAAATCAAAGAGAAGTACAAATTAGACAAAGAAGTAGGGTTCTCAAATGGTAAGGATTTTTGGGATAAAATATTAGAAACAGAAAGGAAATTAATAACAAAACTATATAAACAACTTTTAGAATGGCAACTAGAATCTAAAAAAGATAAAAACTACATGAAAAGATGGAACGAAAATCTAAGAAGTATTAGACAATCAGAATGGAAGGAAATCTGGAGAAAAAGATTAAAATACGCATACTCCACAGACCTTAGGGAAAATTGGATTAAGATGTCATTAAGATGGTATTTAACTCCAAAAAAATTAGGGAAAATATATAATAACACAAGTTCGACCTGCTGGAAATGCAAGAAGAAAGAAGGTTCCTACTATCATATGTGGTGGTCTTGCGAAAAAGCGAAAGAATATTGGAAGAAGATACAAAAAGAAATACAAAATATATTAAAAATAAAATTACCAATGAAACCAGAGCTGTTTCTTTTGGGAATGTATGATAACAATATAGAAAAAAATAAAGACAAAATATTATTTTTAGCAATAACGGCTGCAAGGATGTGCTATGCAAAAAAATGGAGGCAAGCAGAAATACCAGAAGAAGATGATTGGAGAATAAAAATGCTGGACATTAGTAACCTAGACAGACTTACTTTTCTACTATTGAAAAATAAGGAAAGCGGAAGAAAAGAAACAGACTGGAAAGAAGTCACCGAATACCTAAGGAAAAAGAAGAAAGAGACAATGATCTAGAGGGAAAAGAAGAAATTGAGGATGAAAATCAAAAAAAGAGGGGAAAGAAACTTAGAAGAAAAGAAAAATAAAGAATTTTTTCTTTGTTTTCATTTTTATCTTCTACTCTATGACAAGATTAAACCGAATGAACAGAAGATTTTTGCAAGACACCAGGAGGTCGAAATACTCCTATTTTATTTTATTTTTTCTTCTTTTATTTATTTTACTTTCTTTCATTCTTATTTCTTTTTCTTCTTTACTCCTCAATTTTTTTTCTTTCTTTTTTCTTCTTTTTCTTATCTATAAGCATATTTTGTATGAAAAAAACTTCAATAAAGATTATTTTTTTAAAAAAAAAACACTGCACCACCGGGGGCTCCATATTCTTAATTTAAACTCTGAAATATCTTGAGCACATGCAGAATTAAATACAAGTGGCAATGCATGTGTTAAAATCATTTTGGAAGCTTCATTCTGTATTTATAAAATGCACTTTCTTTTTTAAAAAATACTTTATTAAAAAAGTTTTAAAAGGTACTTTAAAAGTCAAAAAAAGTAAATCAACAAAAGAAATATAGAGTAGAAACACAAAAAAATGCTAAGAAAAAAGGAGAGAGAACAGAAAGACAAAAATAGATGCCCTCCAATCTGTCTTCACTTGGCCAAAAGAAATCAACATAAGTTTTACCCTCTTGGTGTCCCAATGTTGACTACTTTCTTAAGCACCCCCCCCCCCCCAATTATTCTTAGGTATTTGAATCCAGTATTTCTTACCATGTTTACATGTCTACCATATAGTAAAAGTACCCCACTTGCTGTTTACATTTCCAACAAGTGTTGGAAACCTGTTTAGACATCTTTGAAAGCCCATCAATACATCATTTTATTATTTTTTTAAAATTAAGAACATGGTTTGAAGCTATATCTGATGTTACCGTTGTGTATTCCCTTTTGTCATCCTTTTGTATTGTGCATTTGGAGTGCTATTTACCATATATCATACCAGAAGTATGAATAGGATTGAAAGAGTTGCTTATGGTTAAAATCCTATACTGCTTTAACTAAGAATAAGCATCATTGAACTATAAGGATTGCACTTAGAGTGTTAGCATCGTCGGACCTGTATAGTAAGAGTGAAAATATTCCTTCTTGCACCTGTAATCCAAGAAAGATTCCTTTCTTCTTTCCTCTTTGATCTTCCCTTCGTCTTATTTAAAGTTCAGTAGGGGAACAGGTGCCTGAGAGCTTTTGTGTTTGCAATTAACCCACAGGCTGATAAAATGTCTAAAAATAAGAAAAAGAAATTGAAAAAGAAACAGAAACGACAAGCAGAGCTGCTGGAGAAACGGATACAAGAAATTGAGGAAATGGAGAAGGAAGCAAGCCCTCTGGAAGCTCAGCCTGAAGACCAGCAAGAGGTTCCAAGGCCACTTGAGCTGCTTTTGAAAGAGAGCCCCCCAGATGAAGGTGTACCTGGAAAAACAGGTGTTGTTCTCTAAAATCCTTATATTTGTTAGATGTATTTGGTAGTTGTTTGTAGTCACAAGCTAAGTAAGTTTTAAGATCGGTGTTGTTGCACATTTCTGAAATGTGGGAAGAACACAATAATGTATTGATTACATTGTATTGTGTTGAGCATTATCATATAAGCAGGAAAGTTAGCTCCGTATTTTCCCAGCATGTTTGATGGGCATCTTAATTTTAAATTACTTTGGCAAATCTCAAAATCACCTAGAGTACTGAGTGCTGTTTGACTGGTGCATTTGTATATCTGATCAACTAAGCTATGGTGGGTTTCATTTGTGATTGACCTTGCTTTACTTTCTCGCTTTCCTCCATCCCACTCCTTTTCTCTAGATGATATTTCTCTTGTATCTGAGCAAACAATCTTAATGGAAGGGGTTGAAAAATGCATAACGGAAATCAATTGCAATGGAATGGTACAAATGACTGCCTTCTCAGATTCCATCAATCAAGTGTCAGTGAGTCTTGAGGAAGATGTTCACAATGCCAATGACTGCAGTGGCCCCCCTCAGGAGCAAGAAGAGGATGAGACCTCTGCTTACAACCAAAGTAATGGTGGCTCAGAGGACAGATTAGAGGAGGCCGGATCCGAGACCTGTGCGCCCTTAATTTCAGAGGTGCTGGATGCCATGGTATGCCAGGGGACCTCAAATGATGAACAGTATCTCAGTGAGCAGCAGATCAGCCACTTACAAGAGAGCATCAGGGCAGAAATACCTTCCGAGGATGAGAATGAAAATAATGGATCTTCTGAGAATAATAAAGGTACTCCACTTATCAGCAAGAGAGTCCAGCAACTTACATTCTGTAAATTGTATGGTTTTGTGGAGAATTGTGCTAAAGAAGAGATGCACAGTCCCTGCTGACTTCACTTGTAGCCGTCACTGAAATATTTCTGCCACCATTAATGTGCTACTGAAAACAAGTGTACCTCCGGCCCCACAGTTAAGTCTACAGAAGAGAGACAGAGATATCCCGGCCGGTCTCAGCAGTGTGTGTTTGTATGTCTGTGTATATAAAGGGGGTCCTGACATCTTATTCCACCATGGAGAGCTAGTGCATTAAGAGCTTGTGCAGGAATCTTAGTACTAATGCAGCCTCTGGTGGGATGGGGACATGCAGTCACCTGAGTGTTAACTTAGGTTTCACAGCATTGTTTCAGGGTCATAGAAGTATTCAAACTGCTTCACATGTATCATCTCAGGCTTACTATGACCTTGTACTGCAAGCTAATATTATTTTGGGTTGCTGTAAGTTTTTCAGGCTGTATGGCCATGTTGCAGAAACATTCTCTCCTGACCTTTCGTCTGCATCTATGGCAGGCATCCTCAGAGATACATGCGAAATGTCAGGAGAGAATGCTTCTGAACATTGTCATACAGCCCAAAAAGCTTACAGCAGCCCAGTGATCCTGGCCATGAAAGCCTTTGACAATACATAGTATTATTTTTTGCAATCTAAGGAAAAAGGCAGATTGATAAATAGTGATGATAATAATAATTATAAATTTTATTTCTATTTTGCCTTTCTCCCCATGGGGACTCAAGACAACTTACAATAACATGACATAGCCCAATAAATTTAAAAACATGGCAAAAGTGGAAAAAATTGAATATTTGCATCATTAACATAGAATACTGTTAAGAGATGTGTAAATAATGGCCTGATCACCCAGTAGAGTTAATTGTGAAAAATCTTAATTATTTTTCATTGAAAGAAGCCAGCTTAATTAACCATGATTTGAAGTTAGCTTGTTTCAAACCACCCTTAATAAGTTGAATTAAAAGTTTGATGGTTCAGCAAACTCTTCATGGACATGTTTTAATTGATGTGTCTTAATTGTTTTAATTGTTGTTTTAATTTTTAATAATTTGTACTGTGGTTGTTTTTATGATGCTAGCATCGTATGATGTTTTTGATAGGCCGCCCTGAGTTCCCCTTTGGGTGGAGAAGGGAGGGGTATAAATAGAGGAAATAAATAAATAAATAAATGTATGTTGCAGAAGAGTTGGGCGCATATGAGCCTAAAGTTTCTTTTTATCACAAAAAACAGAGCTCGTCATTGTCTCTTATTTGTGTTCTCCTGAAAAATAATGCTTTTTGAGTTTGTGTGGCAGTTGATAGTTATCTCCATATGATGGTAATGGACTCTTTGTGCTATATCTAGGAAAATCTGCTGCTGGAAATTTCCTCCTTAATCCACTTGAGCCTGGGAATGCAGATAAGCTCAAAGTGAAGATAGCTGATCTAGGAAACGCCTGCTGGGTGGTAAGTTTAAATCTCTTTTCTTTATGAGTGACAGGAGCTGGTGATCTCCGCCATCAGCTTTGATGTAATGTAAGCACTATGTTTCTTAACTATAAGATCAGCTACAAGCTTGCTAGCAGTGATTCTGTCTATTTATCTATTAAACATGGAGTATAGGAGGGCTAGAGCCTCTCCCCATGTTCTTTCCAAACTCCAGAGGTTCTTGGAAGCAGCACTACTTCCTGAGTGCCTTCACTCCAGTGTCAGAGAAAAAAGCCCTTCCCTCAGCTTAGAAAAAACAAATGTCTCCAGTATTATGCTTTGGCAGCTGCACACTTCCACTAGCTGCCACAGCTATCCACTCTTTGAAACTGGTCAAGTGCAAGCTACTGTAGTAAATTTGTAACATTGGTTAGACTGATTAAAACATTTCAATCAGTTTACAAGGCTGCAATGAAGGCTTTAAAAAACCCTGTGTGGAATCTATAGAAGAGATGGAAAAGCGAGGAATAAAAATCAAGTAGCACCCTTGAGACCCGCTGTTTTATTTTAGCATGAGCTTCCATGGATGTCAGTCCATTCTTCAGATGTACTGCTGGAGATAAGTGTACTGCCACAAGAATATTGAAGTTGCGGAAAACTGTGAGACTGTAGTGGGGGGTCAGATTAGTAGATGACAGAAAGTCACACTATTACACTCTAACTCCACCTCCCACAACCCTGCAACTGAAATTATTCAGTCTCAGAAATTCTTATTGGGTTTTTTTCCTTCCCCTTCCCATTTGCCTGTTTTATGCTGAAACAGGCCAATCTCTTTGAAAACTATTATTTCTGATCTGGAGGGATGATGCCTGTTTTCCAAATGATGTCTAGTGTGAAACATTTGCAGATCACTAAAACAGACTATTTATATTCAGGATTCCTAGTCACCTGCTCATTTAATCAAATGCAAGGTTAATCAGTTATCCCATTCAATTCACTGGAAGAACTTCTAGACAAGGTTTTGATCATGTCATCATCTCGACTCATTCAAAGATTCTCAAGAAAATTCTGTTAAGGGATTTAAAAATGTATAGTTACACAGTGTGTTCTGCTTTGTATCACAGTGTCCTGTGTACCACTTGGATTTTGCATATATGTATCAGGCTTACATATGTATAGATCTCAGTCATGATGGCGGAAGTGTAGAGTGCTGTCTGCAACAATGGTTTACATACTATTCAAAACTGATTTGTTTTAAAAACTTTGAAACTCGGATTTAAAGAACCAGGAAGTGTTGATTCCAGTTTATATCTGTTATCAGTCATGGAATCTCCCTTGATCTCGAGTTCTGAGATGACATGCTTTACTTCTGCAGCATAAACATTTCACTGAGGACATTCAGACAAGGCAATATCGGTCCTTGGAAGTACTGATTGGAGCCGGGTACAGCACCCCAGCCGATATTTGGAGCACAGCTTGCATGGTGAGCTCTGTCATGTCATGTTGCCCAATGCTTGTCAGTGGTCAGGATTTCAGAATTCAGTAGAAATTTCATGTTCACAACTAAATAGGTTCATCTCTTTGCTGGAATTTGATTAAATGAATTGTGGCATGAAATTATGTTAAGAGAACATGTAAGGAAGCCTCATATTTATTAGACATTCTTGTGTTTGTTTGTTTTTTAAATTGGCAGCACAATGATAGTCATTATATATTTTGTAACCTGCTTCCTTATTGCAGACCTACTGATCAGAGTAATTTACAAATATGAAGTCTGAATCCAGACATTCTAGTACAGACACTATCTGAATCCAGTTTATTTAATTGAGAGAAGTCTGCAGTTGATTATGATGATTTTTCAGCACTGTTATTTAAACTTGTTTTTTTTTCCTGGCTTATAAAAAATGTCAAATAAAAAGTGTTCATTTTTAACATATCACAAAACGCCCCTCACTACCTCTGAGGATGCTTGCCATAGATGCAGGCGAAATGTCAGGAGAGAATGCCTCTAGAACATGGCCATATAGCCCGAAAAAACCTACAACAACCCAAAATACTTTTATTTTTATGTCTTGCAACAAACTAGCACAGCTGCCACATGGAAATAACTAATTAGAATTGTGGCTATTCCCAGACAAACTGTTCTCAAATAAAAGGCCTGAAATATGTTTCCCATTTTGTTATTTAGGCCTTTGAATTGGCTACGGGTGACTATCTATTTGAGCCTCACTCTGGTGAAGACTACTCACGAGATGAAGGTAAGTGTTATTCTCTGAATTGTCTAAACTGCCAGAGATGTATCAAATGGGGTGATTGATGATTTTTAATATATTTATGAATGTGTTTGCAGTATAGTGAAATAAGCTAACAAATTCAAATAATGGGAGATGTGTATAAATAATGGGAGGTGTGTATTGTTTTCGCACTCGAATGGCAAGTGATTGAGGAGTTAATTTTTGTCTCTATGTGGCATGAGCTGATCTGCTCCCTTCATGCTCCCACACACACTTTCTCCAGTGTTGTAGTGCAGATCTTGATAGCTTAAATGCCTCAAAATAGATACCTGACTGTCTTGAGATTTCATAAGTACTGATGAACAAGAGGAACAGATGAAAACGAGCAAAGCTGATATTAGCAGTACCTAAAAATTCTTCTTTAGGTACTGCTAATCTTTAAATAAAATATGATCACATTCTGTAATAAAAATGAATTTGTGTAAATCTGTAAGTTTCAGTGGACTTACCTTCAATGTAGTCTGTGGTGGGGTCATACTTTGCACACAGCTGTTAAACTTACAAGGTAACAAAAAGGAAAAAATATGTGGTTTAAAATCAAACCACTCCTAGTTTCCTTGTTTGAGAAACTAGATTTGATATGGAGGAAAAACAAGGTCATAGTTCATCGCCAAATATACACCTTTATACTGGCAATGATTGTTTATTAACTAGTAATATTCATATGTGTGTTCTGTTTTAAAATAGTTACTTTTAAAAAATTAAGTTTTAGTCCATATGGGCTGAAACTATAGAAACAAAACTGTTTAATATGCTAGCAGGTTGCAATAGTGTAATGAAGCAAAACCCTTTCTGTCTGTCTGTCTGTCTGTCTGTCTGTCTTTCACCTATCTTTCCCTCTTTGGTAGGCAAGTTTCATGTTCCACTCATGTTCCCAAGATAGTAAATCTGAATTAATACGTATGCTTGCTGTTGTTTTTGTTTTGTTTTTTTCATTTCCCCTTGGGACGACAGACCATATTGCATTAATCATAGAACTTTTGGGAAAAATACCTCGCAAGCTCATTGTGGCTGGAAAATACTCCAAGGAGTTTTTCACCAAAAAAGGTAAGCATGTAAAACATGTTTAGTCCTTGAAATGACAAGAGTTCACAGAAGCAGAGCCAGCATGGTCAATGGTGTGAGATTATGGCAGTCACAGTCCAAAGCATATGAGATGGCTAGAGATTCCCTCTCTTGAAGATTCTTCCCAGAAATGTGACTGCTTGTTAGCAAAGTACTTTAAACAGTTTTCTTGTTTTGTATCATTCCTAAAGATGCATGTGCTCAAGAATTACAACAAACATCCAGAACTCTGGGTCAGTATTTCCAGAGAGCACTTTAAGAAACAGCAAGATCGTTCTAGCAGGATCTATACAGATGCCAAATTAGGTGTCTTGCTTGGAAGAGGGAAAATTATCCCTGTGATTATACTGGGCAACACACATTTTTTGCCACAAATGTTAGCTCTGTTTCTGGGTATACTTGACCTGCTGGTTCCAAAAATGGCATTGGTGTCCCCCATCAACTCTAGTTTTTGAGTTACAGGACATATGCCATATACTAGTCTTCATTGCCGCACCCATAGAAAATAATGATAACCATAACTAAGAAACTAGTGCTGATTCAGTCTATTCAATACAATTTTCTGAAGCAGTGCCTCAAATGACCCCGGGAAAAGGCCTGTAAACCAAAACAATAACTGCTGTATAAGATGTAGTTCTGTTGACCTTCATGTTTATGTTAAGGATATTCTGTTTAATGGCCCTTCTCATTGTTCTCAGGTGATCTGAAGCACATCACTAAACTGAAGCCATGGGGCCTTTTTGAAGTTTTGGTGGAGAAATATGAGTGGTCCCAAGAGGACGCAGCTGCATTCACAGACTTCTTATTGCCTATGCTGGAGCTGAATCCTGAGAAGAGAGCTACAGCGGCTCAGTGTCTCAGGCATCCCTGGCTGAACTCCTAGATGCTTCAAGCCTGGCACCCTGGTCCTCTACTTGGGTTTACAGCATAATATATATACAGACCTAGATGTCCCAGTTGCCCTTCCCCTCTTCTCCCGAGTCAATTTTTTCCTTGTTGATTTTCAGAGTGAAGCTTCTCCTTGAGGGCTTTTGAGATTTTAGATAAATCTAACTGTTCATGTGAGTTTGTGTACTTGACTCAGTAGGGACTGTTGTCAGCCAGTGGGCGTCCAATATGTTTTGCTGTGATTGGAGTTTGCCAAAGAGTTTGTATGGGAATGTGAAATTACGCCCCTCCCTTCCCCTGACTCTTTTCCTTACTCAAGTACCTTACCCTTTAAAGTGTGGGGAATTTTCATTGGGACACACTCCCTTTAAGTATTTTGCAGTCATCCCAAGGGGGATGTGAAGAGCTGTGAATCCCTCTTTAGCTCGCTGACTCCGGGAGTCATTTTCTTAGTGCACATCCAGTTGCTGACAGTAAGAGGAGAAAGGGCCGATGGCACCAAGGTGGTAGCTCCATGTGGAGCACTGGACTCTACTCAACTCATTCCTTAGGTGTCTGTTCAGCTGCTTGGGTAATATTTTTGTCTTATTATTTTTAAACATATTTTTATCTAGTTCTAGCCATTGGACCTTCTGAAAAAGCCTGTATGAGATATGCGCGTACCTATATGTATTTAAGTATCATTTTTTGTTCCCTCTTTATTCAGATGATTTACCGAAGTAAGCAGCTCTCTAAATCTAAAGCATCTTGCACTTGAGTAGCTTCACAAGGGAAATAAAAGCGATGGGAAGTGCTAAAACAAACAGTCTCTACAATGGGGGTGAGGAATGTGCACTCCTCCAGATGTGGAGTACTGCAACTCCCATAAATCTCACCTTATGGAGCTGATGGGAGTTGCAGTCCTATTCAACAATATGGATCTATGCATTTGTTGGCTGCAGGAGGGCAACCAGGTTGCCTCATTTCTGTGCCAAACCTGTCCAGCGGGCAGCTCCTAGACAAAGAAGAGGTCCGCCAACTCTGTATTGTGGCCTGGTAGCTGCATGAACAATGCACATGTTTCTGCAGTTCAAACAGAGTGACAAAAACAGTACGTGGCTGGCCACTTTGTCATGTGGGCCTGTTTTATGCCATCAATGCTGTCATGAGGGCCTTGTGTGGATGTTTAGTAGAGAGCAGTTTTCAGGGGCAAAAAACAGATATATCCTTACTCAAGGAAATATGGTATTAGTCTATTAGGCTGTCTTTCAAGCCATGCTTTGTGCCCATATTGTGATCCCTTCTGCATTTCCAGAGCTTAGTGGTATCTAGCTGGTTAATGGGTCCAAAGTCCTGGACTCTAGAAATTATCTTTCTGAAAAGAATTGTTTTCTTATGCATGAACATATGAGAAATAATCTATTCTAAAGGAAGTATAATAGGATTTTTTCCCATCCAGAGATAAGGCATTACTCTCTGTTTATCAGAACTGTTACAAAATTGGGAGGCCAACAGCAATATTATTTTTTAAACTCCTAGAAGAGGTTGTAAAGTTACTGACTCACCCATCTAGGCTTTCTTATTATATTAGAAAAAGTATGTAATACTTGTTTTGTGGTGAGTATTGCCTGGCATCAACAGGTTATCTAAAAATTCCCTCCAGCCTGCTCTAATGTTACATTTGAGGAAGTTAGGAAGTTCAGCAGCCCTTCCTGACCATGGACCAAAAAGACTTTTAAGGTTAAAATTATCCAGGGCTGGAAACCCTTGGAATATTCAGATTTTCAGGTACTGTATAGTACTATTCAATGTAAAAGCTGCCAGCAGCAGAGTACCATTTTAAGTTATTTCTCTGTGTGGGAAATCCTGGTTTATAGGAAGCCCCCCTCCTGTCTTGCACCCAGAGACATGTGGTGCAATTTTATTTGTGTTTGTTTCTTTAAATTAAAGTCTAACTGCCATATTCCCTTCACAGTGTAATTTGGCCATGCTATCATATGATGCCTGACTGGGGGTTTAGTGGGATCAGTGCTGCATGTGCATTTAGAAGGAGTTAAGTAACATTCTCGGTGCATAACCGTAAAATGAAAAGGAAAATATTAGCAACTTCTTAATGCTATTTCTGTTATTTGGAGTATCTCCTTTACCTCCTCCCAAAAGCACTTCCGTACCTGTCAAAAATATTTTTCGATGGGACTAGAATGTATAATAGTACTTTCTCTTAAATAACTGTGAAAACTTGTCGGCAGGGAGACCTGAATTTCCAGTGTCAACACATCCATCCTGGCTACCTGAATGGTGCAAAAATGCAGTGTTTCGATCTAATACAGATTCTGTTCCATAGAATATGAGCTGTTTCCATGTCTTTTGTAGTAAAAGAGACATGCTGGCATAATACAAATGGCACCTTGTCAGGACTGCCTCTGTATTTTGTGGCTCTCACCAGGTTCACTCAATTTCCAAATTGCCATAAAGTGCTCACTAACAATTTGTACTTGTTTTATTTACCTAAAACCTGAAGGAAAAACAAATACATTTTTATTCTTTCTATTGGGCGCATTGTCTTTTTTTTCCTTTGTAAATGCAGCACAATAAAGAGGTTATTAAATAATCTACAGGTACTTTTTATATGCTGTCTGTATTCATCCAAAGCTCTCTGTAGTAGAACCTCTTTTATATAAATCAGGTACAAGACAAAGAGAATTAAATATATGTGTGCTGGCATCATTGTCATATGGGGTAAGAGTAATATAGCGATGTAGCAACAGCATTAAAGTAGAAAGTAAGTTTGGCTACTGCTCTGTTCAATAAACTGGTTCTATTGTTAGGTTGAGTTAATCCTTGTAGTCATTGATCAGATACTTTTATTATCATACAAAATACACATCTTGTGATAACAAGAATAAAATGACATTGAAAAGTAAAGGAAACCTTTTGATAGCCAGATTCGGAGTAGAGTTATGTCCCTGTAACTCAACATTTATGTTTGGAACGGGCTGAAGTTAGAATACTGTTACATTACCTGGTTTGCGAGAAGCGTGTTCTCTATAGCTGATAATGTCTGCTGGAAAATTACACTACAGTAGCCTGTCATATTCTGTTGTTTAAGCTGAACTATGAACAGAAGAAGACTACATTTAATAAGGGGATGGGAAGAAAGGGCTGCCTTAGTTATGGTTTGGAGTGTGGTTATAGAACCGTTCTTGGAAATCAGTATTGCTGCATATTTTGAGCAGTTCAAATCTTTGCAGTCTTTGTGTACAATGCAGTTAGACTCTGACAGCAACAATGAATGTAAAGACAGAATAAAAGACAAAACCCAGAAAGCATGGCAAGCAGCTACACTCTAATACTTCCCATGATTACGGATGAAAAGAGAGGAAATGTCAACAGTAGTCTATAATCCAGGATCAATTCTGTAAGGGCCTTTTTTGTGAGCAGTGCAACCAATATAGCCGTTAATTTTCTACAGGCTGCTTATTATCTGGTAGGTCTGCAATGTCTCCTGGCTGAATGGTTCAGTTAAAAAATGTATGAACTTACTAGTTTCTTCACTAGGATACTTCTGGTTCTCTCCATGAAAATGTATTGCATCTGTTTTACCAGTAGTAGAAGTTTTGAACAGGGGCAGATTAGAAGTGATAATCGAGCCTAGGAAAGTTTCTTATTTGCACTACAACTTCCAGAATCCCCTGGCCAGAATGATCTCTAAACCAGGCTAGCTTCTGGCTTCTGGGAATTGAGTCCAAAATAACATCTCCAAGCTCTGTCATGCCCCACTTCACACACATGTTGTTCCTATAGGGTTTATCTGATATTGGATGGAAATAGTGACTCAAAGCAGCAACAGTTGGGTGGATCCACTTCCCATGTTTACTTCTTCGTGGTACCCAGAAGAAGCCCTACATCAGAGGTATTCTGTGGACAGTGGAAAGAGCACAAGTAAAGAGAAAGCAGCAGTAGACCCTGTTAGGTTTCTGGTGTCTAAGCAGCTCCCTGGGGACTCCAGATGCCAATGCCAGTTCTGTGTTTGGAAAATCTGAAGTTCCAGTACAAAGAAGGAGAGGATTTTGAAAGATTCACCCACCCCTTTGAAGCTTCCCTTTGATGTCTCTTTTCCAGTCAGAATGGACAACTTTTTAAAAAGGGGAGTATGGGGTTGTGCCTGGCTCCCATGAACCTCAAAGAGCCCTTTTGACTTGACTCAAAACTGGGAGCAGGTATGCCCATTTCAATCAAAGGCTTGAGATTGCCCCATTCTTCATCTTCATTCATTTCCTTCTTCTGCAAGACAAAAGAACATTACATGGATCAGACAAAAAGGGTCTTCCACCTTCCTACCTAGTAATGTCAGTGGAAATCACACAGACACCCAAATACGTGCATCTTGGAATTTAATCCAGAAATGACACAAAGCCTGGAATATGTTACACCCCTTTCCAACAACTGTAAACCACAAAGTCAAGGCTTCATAGATGCCCAATTACCACTATTTATAGCCAACTATGCACATAACCAGAACATGGGAACTCGGCATTTGCTGATTTTCATAAAATTAACCTAATTTCAATGCTTTGTAAATGATTCTCTTAAATCTTTTGTAACCCTGAGTGTTCTTAATGCATACCTAAAATTATTCACATCCCATTTTAACTCGATCTGAAAGCATTGTACCTGATCCATGCAATTGATCCTGTCAAGTCTCAATGGTCAGGATAAAAGAATGAATGACCCAAGGTCATCCAGCAAGTCTCATGATTCAGTGGGGACTAGAATCTATGTCTCCTAAATCCCACTATAACAGACAAATCATTTTACCTTTGTTCTCCACTTGGAAGTCAGATGGAAGGAGATTGTCTTGCCGGTTGCCAAGTACGAATGCCAAGAAGGAGAGGATTAGAGCATCAAGGATCCCAATGATGCATAGGATGTATGCCCAGCGCACCGTGCACACTCCCAGTGTGTACTTGTCTGTCTTCTCTCCACACATCCGCTTCACTTCAGGTGAGTCCCAACCATCGGGGTAGAGCATGCAACCAATTGCCAAACCAGCACCTGAAATCGGGAGAGAAGTACTGTTACAGTACGCCAGTGACTGCCAGTCTCATTCAGGGCAGATGCTAATTCGGGGGCTCGTGCTAAAGTATGTGAATGTTTTGTTTTTTTGGTTTTTTTCTAATTTTGGAAATATCTAAAGAGGCTCCCATGGAGAAAAAGAGATGAATTAGGGAGATGAGAAAGGATACCGCATTTAAATTTGGCGGGGTCAGGCAGAGCTAAGCAATGATTTCATCCATATTTCAGCATTTGGAAATGTTAACTTTTTCCATTACAGCCAGTGCCAATTCTTGGCAGTTGTGGTCTGAAATGCCTGCATTTCCAGTTTCTGACCATCTTCGACAGAATATAGTGTTCTTTAGTAAATGATCCTCCTACGACACACCATCTTGCATTTTTGCACTCTGTCTTGAAAGTTGCCATTCAGATTGTGTGCTTCTGAAAGTCTTTGGTCAACTGATGATGGTTTGGATTCAGGCAACACCAATTAAAGAGTCAGTATCTTATCCGTGGATACCAAGCTTTTCCTTCACTGCTGAGTAACCACAGCTCAACACTATGTATTTGGGATATAAAGGAAATAGGTAGACCATAAGGAATGTGGCTTATTTTCCGTGTGGTTTATGCTTTGTATTATTTGGACTGTTTCTCAGAGTACACATGTATCCTCCTTACTCATATTTTGCTATACAATGAAATAGTTGTTGCATCCCTTGAGGGAAAGAGAAGCTAGATGTGATTTTTTGATATTTGTTTCCATAGCAACAACCTTCGATGTGAATATGAAACAAGGTCTTGCTTGCAATGCAAAATGACTTCCCTTGTGCTATTTTACTACAAATTAGAGATCTCGGGTAATGCATCGGTCAAGTTAAACATCAGATCTGCCCTCCACATGATGAAAGAGTTTGATGTACTGTGAAATGATGCAGGAGCAACAGAAATGCACAGGGAAGCAATGACAACAGATTAGCAGTATGTGGAAACCTATCAAATCCTCGAGTGTATTTTCTTGTGACCTAGCTGAGCTGTGTCACTATAATAGCTCACATTGCTGCTTATAACATTGCAGACCTATCTGACAGGTCTCCATGAACTAACCTAAAAAGGTCACAGTGTAATGATATATAAATCTTCCAGGTTAACATTGAATCTTTGGAACTAATTTATTCAATCATAGTGTTGGAAGAGACTCCAGTCCAAAGACCATCCAGTCCAACTCCCTGCCATGCAGAAACACAATCAAAGCCCTCCAGACAAATAGCCACCCAGCTTCTTTTTTTAACATTTCCATTAAAGGGAACTCCATCACACACACCCAGGCAACATATTCCACTGTTGAACAGCTGTTACTGTCAAGAAGGTCTTCCTAATTTTAGGTGGAATTGCATTTTCTTCAGCTTGAGTCCATTGCTTCTTGTCCTGGTCTCTAGAGCAGCAGAAACAGGCTTGCCCCCTCCACAAAGTGACACCCTTTCAAATGTTCAATCAGAGCTGTTGTTCCCCCTCTCAGCCTTCTTTGCTCTACATTAAACCCATTCAGTTCCCGAAGCAGCTCCTCATAGGGCTTGGCTTCTAGATCTTCAACTGCAGTAGTACTGGGACATGTAAAGTCACTACTTTACAGATGTAGTGCAGCATATTTGCTTTGGATAATTTTTCATATAATCAGAGTTGGAAGAGACCTTGTGGGCCATCCAGTCAACCCCCTACCAAGAAGCAGAAAATCGCATTCAAAGCACCCCTTACAGATGGCCATCCAGCCTGTTTAAAAGCCTCAAAAGGAGCCTCCACCACACCCCAGGGCAGAGAGTTCCACTGCTGAACAGCTCTCACAATTAGAAAATTCTTCCTCAGGTTCAGATGGAATCTCCTTTCCTGTATTTTGAAGCCATTGTTCCACATCCTAGCCCTTTTTGTCCTGCATTACAACCCTCAAGAATCTCAACAGATTGATGAGAGATTGTTCTAAAATCACAAAAATTCTATTATAGAAATGCATACTACATGATATCCATAGGCCTTTCATTGATATCTAGAGGTAACCAGTAACCCAACTATGCATGAATATTGGGAAAAGGAGCAAAATTCATGCCCAAACCCATTCTCAAAATGTTCTGCAGAAGTGCCAAATCCATGTGTGAATGCCCATATGAAGAAGAACAACAATTGCATGCATGCACCATGTGATTCCTTGGCATCTTTTTATTTTCTCAGGTGGGTTTACTTTAGCCCACACTGTATAGATCCTGTAGATTGGATCTGAGGAAGGATGTGATTTTGGGTCTCACCCCTTCTGTCTCTTGTGGAAGGAGCTGACAAGAGAGCTATTGTGTCCAATTTACATTGCCTTGAAATCTAGGTAAGAGAAAGGGAGTTCTTAGCCTTATCCAAACCCTTTTATCTTAATGAGATAAATCCATTGTTTCATCAGAGAGGCAAATTGGTTAAAGTGAAGCAGGAGGAAAGGTGGTATATTCGGGCTGCTCTCTATTTCCTTGGCAGCATTTCATTTCCTTGCTTTTCCCAACCTCCTTATAAGACTTGAAAATGAGAAGAGAAAGTGTGTAAATTAGACTTCTGATGTGACAGAGAAAAACATGAGCTAAGATCCTTTTTGAGTTGTTTCCACTTACAGTGGAGGAACTTTTTTCCACTTGTGACATCTTTCCACCAGAGACATTTCTATGTAATTCCAGATACATATGTATATAAAATAAGTATAAAAATCAAATTGAAAATAAGTCAACATTTGCAAGACTTGCTCAACAGGGTGATTTTCCTTTTTGTGGAGTAGAGCTGAAGCATTCTCTGCAGAGTCAACAGTAAACATTGCACTTTGTTGGTTACAGATTTGTGTAAATGTCTAGGTATTGTTTAGAAATCTCTTATCATTGCCAATTTTTTGTGATCCCAACATTGAGCAAAGGGGACCCCATTTGGTGTTGGGCCTAGGGAAACTCTGAGCTTTCTATTCTGGGAAAGATTTAAAATCCTTCTTGGCTTTGCAGCCACGGGGATGTGGGACATGAAGTCATTCTCTCCATAAGAATCCTGCCCTCCTTTATGAAATATCTCTTCAATCTCCAAGTTTCTAGCAGTGCTGTCACTTAAAACTTCAGTTCAGCTTTAGAAATACAAAAAGAAATGCAGAAAAACTTACCAAGGAAATGCAAACAAATACATCGAATGGAATTATTTTCAATATCTCACTTTCTGCAATGCTGGCTGAAGGAAAATGTAATTTGTGGGAGCAGAATGATTATGGGGGGGGGGGGCGTCAGTGTCCTCATTTTGCTCCTCTTAGGTGCAAGAGATTCCTCCAAGAGATGGAATGGGATGAGATGAATGAATCTGGTTTTATTCCTACACATTTCTACAAATTGGATGTTGGGCAGGGGGCTGCGTTTGGTTCTTTTCACTCCAGAGCTTTCACAGCCTAATTTGTGGTATTTGTAGAGGAACAACCCCAAATCCTGCCTTTGTGGCAATACTGGGAACTTATGTGAACACTCATTACTGTTCCAGGATGCTTGGTTCTGTGTTTAAAGCCAAACTGTGTGGCTTTTCTCTGCTAGCTTATCATGATGGGGCATGGCCACTGTGAGCTATTTGGAGGTCTTTTCAAGCTTCTTATTCTTAAGCTATTTATGCTTTGGGAATTAGAGCATTCTGTAATGCTATTGGTCCCCCTTTTGCTTATTTAAAATGCCAGCAATGATCCTGTCACAATGTTATTAATTTTAATTTATTCTGCCCATGACCTGACCCAATGTATTCCGATCTGCCGAAGAGGATCTCTGCACATAATGTAACAGGAGAATGCCACCTTTCTTCTCCACATGAATATTTTAAAAGGGTTTACATGTCTTCACTGCACTTTAGCAACTTTCCATGGTAGAATCATACAGGTCTCCCAGGACTTTTGGGGTGGAAAACAATGACATTGAATACTTGCCATTCTCATCGCAAACATTGCTATTTTTGGCAAGATGTAATTAAACAATCAGTTCTGTTAATCACATAAACATTGGATTAAGCAGAAGATCCCAGGTAGAGTGGAAAGTTCAAAGACATAGCCATGTCATTTCTAAATATCTTTATGCAAAAGGAAACTTGTAGGATTTGATTAGCATCACACTTTATTTATTTCTGTCTCAAAGGTGCTACAAATCCCTTTGCAGAGTTGAAAGTTGTCATCTTACACAATTTGAGCTTTTTCTAAGTACTATCAACCCCATCTCCATCTGTATTAAGTATGGCTACTCCTTTGACTTTTAAGAATGAGGAGGGTAACTGAAACTGCAAAGTGAATGTTCCCTCATTCGTGTTCAGCCATGCATGAGCAAATGTGCATTTGTCCTTTCAAACTGGACTATTACATTCTGATTCTCTGTCTTTTCCTTTGGCAATTCTTCCAGTTTACATACTGCTTATTCTCCATAACCTTCCTGGCTGTATTGCTTCTATTATTCTTAAACTAAAATGCATCTACAGTTTAGAGGCAATGCAGTTTGATACTACTTTAACTGCCACAGCTCAATGCTATGGAATCATGGGAGTTGTAGTTTTGCAAGGTTTTTAGCCTTTTCTACCAAATGAGTGCTGGTATCTAATCAAACTACAGCTCCCAGGATTCCCAATACCCTTGTCCATCACTCAAATTACTACACTACATTGTCTCTCTGGGTATAAATTAAGCGACCTCACTCCTCTAAGGGTTGCTGAATGGCAGTATCTGGAAACCTCTAATTAACATAGCAAATAATGAGAAATCATGGGAAATGCTGTCCAATATCTGGAGGATCACAATGGACCACTTTTGGTAGAGATAGTGAATTGTCTCTGCATGGATTTATTTATTTCCTTCTTTTTTTCAATGCACTCATTGCATGATACATAACCTTTCTTAGCCTCCACCACTTTGTTATTCTTTACCTCTATGGCATTTCTGACTTGTGGAGACTTCAAAGTGACCTTATCACAGGGATTTCTTGGCAAATATTTGTCCTGAAGAGGTTTGCCATTGTGTTCCTCTGAAACTGAGAGAGTGTGACTTGCCCAAGGCCACCCAGTGGGTTACTTTATCCTCATATGGTCCTTATGATACAGGGCAGACTGAGAGGAAAAGGGATTCAAAGTCACCCAGTAAATTTTAGAATTCAACGGGGATTGGAATTCAGATCCCCCCAGATGTGCATCCAACTTACTAACCAATCCAGTACATTATAGGTATTCAAGCAAATATTTAATATTTGCAATCTAGTTAGAAAATGCCAGTATTGCTGGACTGTCCTCCACTGGAGGTTTTCAAACAGAAGCAAGATGATAATCTCTCAGGAATATTTTAGTGATGTATTCTTTCATTTGCATGGGGGTTGGGCTACATAGCCCTTGGGTACCTCCCAATTCTCTCCTTTTATGTTTCTATGGAAAAAGTTACTGAGAGCACCTAGCTTAGTTAAGTTTTCAAAAGGAATAAATTCATTTAAATGAGTCTAGAAATCCTTAAAATTCAAATACTTTCAACATTAGTACCTGAACAAAATCTTTTGATTCCCAATATTACTTAAGAGTACTAGGTAATCTCACAATAGAGTCCAGTATAAAACAGCATGGTCACCAGAATCTAGAAGTTGCTTGTGTAGTGATGAGTTAGTTCTAAACTGTACAGCTAACATTTTGGTCGGAAGGCGGCTGCTAAATATTTAGGTCCAGCCATGTCATTGTCTACTGTAGAACAAGTCACCGAGGACAAAAAAGATAGACTGCTTCATTACAAATCGTAAGTGTGCATGAAAAAATTTAAACTGTGGTTTGTACAAACATGAAATTGCAAATCCATGTGTTCTGTAAGAATGCCAAGCATAGGACAATGGTGGTGTGTAGACCTTTTTGGAAGTCTGAGTAAGTGGCACAATTTGGTTTATGAGTATTTTTGTGTGTGTCAGGAACAACTTGAGAAACTGCAAATTGCTTCTGGTGTGAGAGAATCAGCCATCTGCAAGATGTTTTGATGTTTTACCATCTTTGTGGGAGGCTTCTCTCATGTCATTGCATGGGGAGCTGGAGATGACAGATGGAGCTCATCTGCACTCTCCCTGGATTCAAAACTCCAAACCTACTGGTCTTCAGTGCTGCCAGCACAAGGGTTTAACCCATTGCACCACCAGGAGTTCCTAAATAAATAAGTAAATAGTACATGCAATAGGACAGATAACAAGGTGGGTAATTCTACTACAAAGAACTGGTATTTTTACTGAAACCCTGCTGTTACATTTGTTTTAGCATTGTTTCGTAGGATTGAAGATCTCAGCAGAAAAGTTAATGGCACACAGCATGGCTTTGTAAGTGACAATGGCCTTTTACTCCAAATAGCTCTTAGCAGGAGTATATTTGCTTTACAGGTGACCTTCATATAACAAGTCTTGAGGAACAGAGGCAAAAAGCTATGTCCTCCCTGAGCATAACAGTGCCTTGGCATCTGACAATATTAGCACACAGGTGGACATTTGGACAGGCATTTCACCTGCCACTTTTCTCTCCCAAGTTCCCTTTGCCCAACTTACATGCTGCCAGCTGCATCCAAGCGCACACCTTGTAGACAGTGGCTGCATTGCAGAAGAAGAAGAGGCTGAAGCAGAGGATGCAGCCAATGATGAGGAAGGTAGAGACCCCCACAAAAAACATGGCTGTTTTGAAGGCACTGGAGGGGATGGTGCCAAAGTCCAGCGGGCTGCCCTTGCAGATGAGCTCGCCTGTAAGGGCATTGCCAATGCAATAGGAATAAAGGCCAAAGTAGCCGGCTTGTGGTGTGTCAATGCTGTCACCTATCCAGTAGGGTTGGATGAAAGTCACCACCATGATCACAGCAAAGCAGATTGTGAAGAGCGCCCATAGGACTCCCATGGCTCGGGCATTCCTCACGTAGTTGGTATGGTAGATTTTGGCTGCCTCTTGGGCTGGAAGCATCTTCGACATGGTGATGCCTGAGATTGGATTGGGTCGTCTCTTGTAAGAAAAGAAGTAGTAAGAGGATTAGAAGTGGACTGGGGAAGATCAAGCTTGGAGCATCGAAAGTACAGCTCTCTCTTTCTCTGTTGATGCAAGGGGATGCAGCAAGTGTGAAATACAGACTCAGGTTGAGCTTCCTCACTGATAAAGACCCAAAGGAGGCACTGTCACCCTCTGAGTCCCCGCCACAGAGTTCAGGCACCAGTCTCACTGTCTCCTTTCTCTTCTGATCAGCTCAGCCACAGGCCGCTGGAGTCTGAAGGGTGCTTATCTCTGCCTTTCGCTGCTGCTACTTGTCTTCTTTTCCGCAGACATGACGTTTCCCAGGAGGCTGCTGACTTCACCCCCTCCCCTTCAAGGGATATCATCCACTCTCACACACAAAGCCCCTGCAGCCACCTGCTCTGCTGCCATCACTGGGTCCAAGGAGGAATAGCTTCCTGCCCTTGCTGCTTCCTTTCACCTTCTGTGCCTTTCCCTTCAGAACCACGGACAGCAGCCAAGGAAAAGCCAAATCCAGGGAAAGAAAAGGGGATTTGAGGCCCCTTCCACACTGTTGAATAATATCCCACATTATCTGCTTTTGAACTGGAGTATACAGCAATGTAGACTCAAATAACCCAGTTCTAAGCAGATATTGTGGGATTTTCTGCCTTGATATTCTGGGTCATATGACTGTGTGGAAGGGCCCTGAGTGAGAAGGAAGGGCACATGGACAGCATTGGCTTTGTTGGTGTTCCTTGGGTGGGCAAGAAGGATCGTTCCTCGCAACATAAAGGCTCCCAAGTTGCCTAATGAATACGCTGAGGAACTCTACGAAGCTACAAAAGGCAGCAGACTCAGTTTTGTCACGCTTTAAAAAAAATAAATATTTGTATTCAAGAAAAAAAATAGATCAATGACACGGCAAACAAACATTTGGGGAAAATATGCAATACCAAAAACTTCATAACTACATTCTCTCTACTATTTCAGAACTACCACTGACTTAACATAAACACAAAAATGAAACACACATGTACACACAAAACCAAAATTAATAAAATAAAAATGTATAGCTATAAACCTCCCACGTATTATAATCTGATAGTCTCTATCCCTTATTAGTCTACTGCCTTTAGAGGACGTTGTAAAATCACACTTCTGCTTTGAATTCATAAATCCTACAATTAGCTTTGTCACACTTTTTGTGTGTTGGCCAGGATCCCCTGAGTTAGAGGCCGCTGGGGGTTTCCAGGTCAGTGTGGTGATAAAGCCATCCTGGGGTTTAGTCTGAACTGAACAATGTGTAAAATCTTACTGTTCCAAATAATTTAAGCATTTTAGATAGCCCTTTAAATTTCAGATTTACACCTAGGGAAAAGTACACATGCACACACTACCAAGGGAACCACCAGTTGCTGTTTCCCTTTTGAGATTTGATTAATCTGTTTTTGTAAGTTTAATTTATGAATGTCTTTGGCATTGAATGTTTGCCATTTTTTGTTGTAATCTGCCCTGAGTCCATTCGTGGAAAGAGGGCAGAATATAAATACATGGAACTATGAAAGAGTGAACATGCAAAGTTATTGTGTATGTTTTGTGTGTGCTGAGAAGTCAAAGCCCTTATCTCTTCACTTCAGTAGAACTGACTGAAATTATTTAATGCAGGTCACTGTCTTTATCCCGTATGGGGCTGGATGCAGGAAAAACTGCATCATGGTTAGCCTATGATCTCCTTAATGGCTGAGCCATCATATGAACAGGGGACATTTTCAGTCCTACTTATGCACTTCATTATCAACATGCTTTTCAGGTTACATATAACCAAGACATTTATTCTGAGTAAGTAGTGCACTGGACTATAGACTTGGATACCAGGGTTCGATTTCCCTCTCAGTCACGGAAATCAACTGGATGATCTTGGGCAAGTCGCATACTCTCAATCCAGTAAATCCCATGATACTGTCACTTTAGGGTCGCCATAGGACAGAAACAACTTAAAGGCACATAGCAACAACCAAACGTTTGTAGAACTGATCTCTTCGCCACTAACTTACATAGGTTCTGGGTTAGTCTTGGTTTCTAAGAGTTATGTTGATAGCTTTGTACATTACCTGTTACATTAAACTGTGCTTTTAAACTGTTTTGTAATCCGTTTTTAATAACTGCTTCACTGGGAAGCTGTGTTTCCCCTTCCCAGGGTGCTTGTGCCCCACTTTGTGCTGGTCAGTGACCGTAATAAAGTTTTGTATTGTATTGTATTGATAGGTTTGTAGGATGTCCATTTTCCAGCAAGGTCCCCAGGAAAAATGTCTTTCAGAATCTTTGAGGTACCATAAAAAGACTGAGGCTTGGATCTGAGATCTACCTCATCTGGACAGATAGTGACTGATCCTGATTTGGAGTTGATTCACATGCCCCCTCCTCATATCATAGTCCATCCCATTTCCATTAACCTCTATGGAGTATGGGGAGACTGAGGCAGGGAAGGATAGTTCACCCAGCCCAGTTACACATGCTTAAAACCAGATGCAACCAACTGCAAAGCAACTCAATCTAGCTGCATGATGAAACATATGCACAATCATTCTACACAGGGGAAATGTAATCTCTCATCCATCCGTTCCTGCGCTCATTTGACAACGCAGCATAAAATAACTCCTGCAGATGAAGAATCCTCCTCTCATTCTAATTTCACAAATCTCTGATATTTAAAATCTGCTTCTCCTGGATGGTACACATATGCAAACTGGATATCTTCAAAGTACCATGATGAGTGAGCCGTTTGCACTGTTTGGATGGAAAGATTTAGCTTTCTGAGCAGGAGGCTGGACTCAAAGGCCCATGGGGGCCAATTCCAATTGTATGATTCTGGGCCTCTAAGACATCTTTGATTTCTTGAAAATCTTTGGAGTTTTAAACAAGAACATTGAGATTCCATGTAATGATTTTCAGAGAAGCAGAGCGCTTTCCAGGCTATTCACTGCTGAAAGCCCAATTGGGGGGGGGGGGGGGGGGGGGGGGGAGAATACCCAGAGAAGTAAGTAATGAACAGCCTAAGTGGACAACACCTAACTCTCCCCTATCACATTTCCTCCAGACTATAAGTCTTAATAGGAGTTATAGTACAACACATTTGGAAAACATGACATTGTGGAAAGTTGCTGCTGTGTATAGCTTGGAAATGTAACTTATCTGGGACTACAATTCCCTAGGATTCTGGGAGATGCAACTCAAGAAAATCCATGTTCCGCTGTAGTGTCCAACTGAAAACTGTCCAGCTGGATACATTCTATAAAACAGGGCTTTGCCTTCCTCTCTGGCCTTGCTTACCCAACTGCATGATTTATATCTCCTTGTTCCTGTGAAAGGTGCCTGTAATTGCATCTGTTACTGGCTCAAGGTGGTTTCTTATCAGGCTATTTAAATAATCTCTGTGGGAAACAGCGAAATTTTTCACACTTGGTGTTGTATTCCCTAGATTTTTCATGCGGCTGGCAGCCCTGGCTGATACCCTCAATCAGCAGTCCTTAAGCTTTTAAAGCAGACTCTTTGGGGGCCAGACTATAGTTTGAAAAAAAAAAGACAAGAATGCACATTCACACTGCACATATCTTATTTGTAGTGCAAAAAATAATAAGGAAAACAATACAATTTTTGAATGAAGAATAATTTTAACCAACATGAACTTACCAATATTTCAATGAAAAGTGTGGGCCTGCTTTTGGTTGATGAGATAATCAAGTTAATTAGGACTGTTGTTGTTGTGTGCCTCTAAGTTGTTTCAAACTTAGGATGACCCTAAGTCTAAAGTTTAGGGTGGAGGCCAAGTAAATGACCTTGGAGGGCTGCATCTGACCCATGGGTCTTAGTTTGAGGACCCCTGCTTTAGATAAAAGGACCATGCAATGAGTGAGAACTTTGTAGAAAAGGTGCTTGAACTATCTATCAGGCCTCAGTGCTACTTTTCCCTAAGCCAAAAAGACACTCTTTCTATTGGTCTACACACAGGTTCCTTTTGCAAGTTTAGGGGAAGTGTGTAGGAAGTGTGGAAAGCATCCTGAGTGCTAGGAATGATTTGGGTGCTGGACTACAGCTCGGAAGACCAGGGTTTGAATCACTCAGCCATTGAAATCCTTTGGGTGGTTCTGGTCAAGCTTCATTCCCTCAGAGGAAAGCAGTGCCATTCCTCCTGATCAAATCCTGCAAAGAAAACTCTGTGGTATGGCTGCTATAAGTGAGAAACTTCTTAAGGCACAACAACACCAACAACACATCAGTGTGAGCATGCCAACTATCCCCAGAATAGAAAGATACTAATACTACATGAGAACAAGAAAGATCCCCAACTCCAAAAATATGAGATGCCTATTTATATTTTTAAAATCCAAGAAGAAAGTTTGCTGACATGCAATTTCTTCTGCTGTAGGAAGCTACTGTGAGTTGCCATGAGAACTGATACTAGAGTATCAGCGAAGAATCGTCCAGCGGAGCTTTTCCGAGTTGTCAGGGGCCTGTTAAATCCGCCAAAAAGCGACGCCTCGGACAACTCGGTGGCTCGCTGTGAAGCATTTGCTCGATCCTTCGCGGATAAAATTGAGCGGATTCGGTCGGGTTTTGACGTCATGTTAACGGCAGTCTCTGGGGATGTAACGAGAGCATCTGCTTGTCCAGTTTTGTTGGATTCGTTTCAATTGGTTCAGCTTGAGGATGTGGACAGGATCCTTGGAGAGGCGAGAGCATCCACATGCATCCTAGACCCCTGCCCATCCTGGCTGGTAAAGGAAGCCAGAGGGGGTTTGGCAGAATGGGTGAAGGTGGTGTTTAATGCCTCCTTACAGAAGGCAACATTCCTGGCAGCTTCAAACAAGCTGTAATAAAACCACTGTTGAAAAAAACCATCACTGGATCCCACTCAATTCGACAACTATCGGCCTGTTTCCAATCTCCCCTATTTGGGCAAAGTCATGGAACGTGTGGTGGCAACACAACTCCAGGGGTTTCTGGTAGACACTGATTATCTAGACCCGGCACAGTCTGGCTTTAGGCCGGGACATGGAACTGAGACAGCCTTGGTCGCCTTGGTAGATGATCTACACAGGGAGCTAGACAGGGGGAGTGTGTCCCTGTTAGTTCTGCTGGACCTCTCAGCGGCCTTCGATACCGTCGATCACGGTATCCTTCTGGGCCGCCTCATGGATATGGGGCTCGGAGGCACTGCTCTGCGGTGGCTTCGATCCTTCCTTGAGGAACGGACCCAGAAGGTGTTATTGGGTGACACCTGTTCGGCCCCACAACCGTTGTTGTGTGGAGTCCCACAGGGTTCAATCTTGTCCCCGATGTTATTTAACATCTACATGAAGCCGCTGGGAGAGATCATTCGGAGTTTCGGACTAAGATGTTATCTCTACGCAGATGATGTCCAAATCTGTCACTCCTTTCCACCTGTCACCAAGGAGGCTGTCCAGACCTTGAACCGGTGTTTAGCTGCTGTATCGGACTGGATGAGAGCTAACAAATTGAAATTGAATCCAGACAAGACAGAGGTCCTACTGGTCAGT